AACCACACCCAACACTTGAAGCAAGTATTTTAATCAATTGCATCCAAATATACTTGGATGATATCTTAATTTTTCTTTAAAAACGAACTGTATAGATAATTTAACGGAAAGCAACATTATGATTTGGTATTTCGGTTTGACCAATTTTTCTTAATAGCCTCTTTTGAACTATTGGGAAATATTGCCATTTTGCAACCTGGTAGCCTAATTACGGTATACATTTAATGCAAATGATTGTTTCCTTTATAAAAGATGATATTCAAAACAAACATACTTCACTTTTGTTTATTACATTGTGGTTTGCATTCCAATTGCATTTTTTTCATCTCTATCCTCTTTGTGTCTTGAAGTTTAAATGACGCAGAGGACAAACAAGAATTTCTCCTGGGTCAAAAGTTGAAACAACAGAGATAAGAGGAAAAGAGAGACATTGGTGCTGTGTTCGTCTGGGAATATCAGTTTGCAAAGGGATCTTAGACTCTTTCTACACTTTCATATAAAATCCAGATTATTTGCTTCGAACTGGATTATCTGGCAGTGTATGTAGACTCATGTTTGGCATTGGAAGTCATTTTAATTATTGGTTTATTTAAATTTTGGAATACCTTTATTTGCATGTATGTACATAATGACACCTAGGAGATGGGGTCCAATTCTACATACGAATCTCATTTGTGGAACTTGTTTCTAAAAAGTACCAAATCCATATGAACAAATTTTAACAAATCTAAAAAAAACAAGCTGAGGATAAGCATTCTTTGGCTACAAAACACAATATTCCAAGCCAGGTACCAAAGTGATTTGATACATTGTGATATCAAAATATTTGAAACAATTCTGTGTTTGAAACAAAGTTTGTGTACATGGAACCTGTGGAAGCAAATGTGTTGCTCACTACATCTGCCACTTTAATGTCCAATTTTCAAATCTGAAATTCCAGTTAATACAGGATGCTCAATCTGTGACACTTGGGAGACTGAAGGTGCATCTACAGAATGAATGCAGTTTGACACCACTTTAACTGGGTTGTGACCAATGCTGTTGAGTCATGGGAGTAGCAGTTTCACAAGGTCTTTAGCCTTCTCTCCCAAACAGTGGTAATGCCATATACAATTCAGATTATCTGTTTGGAATCAGACTGCATGGCTGTGTAGACTCAGGCCCCTTCTACACTGCCATATAAAATCCTGATTATCTGCTTTGATAGTCATCTAATTTGGATTAGATGACACTGTACCAAAGCAGATGAAGTGGATTATCTGTTTTGATAATCTGGATTATATGGCAGTGTAGATTCATACGAGGGTTGAATGAAAAGTAATGCCTCCATCTTCGTATCTCAATAGATGGCAGTACTGGTATGCAGCAAGTACTGGCTTGTTCAGTTGACTCTCCTCTACAGTTCCATTTTGGCAAGAAGCTTTAGCATTGAATGGTTGTGTTGTTAAAGTGCGAAGTATGGAACCCTGCGCAGACGGTCAGTCAATGCAACTTAAGTAACGTTCAGTCATTGAATTCTTGACAGCAGGAGGTGTCACCCCAAAGGAGATTCGTCAAAAAATACAAGCTGTTTATGGTGATTGTGTTGATGTGAGTACTGTACGTCATTGGACAAATAAGTTTAAAGATGTTGAGGTGGGAACATCTGACTTGCGTGACAAACAAAGAGTTGGACATCCTATGACAGCTACAACTGAGTTTCACAAGCAAAATGTTGACAGAATGATTCAGGATGATCGTCGTCTCACTCAGAGAGAAATTTCAAGCATAATCGGCATTTCACAAGAACGTCTGGGTCACATTATTGCTTTGCTTATTTATTATTTATTTATTTCAAAGTTTTATATACCAAGCTTCTCACCTCATAAAAGGGACTCAGCCCGGTTTCCAACCATAAAAACACATACAATCGGTAAAATATCAAAGTACACATTACAATAAAACATTAAAAAAGCACATATATTTAAAACTACAGTGGTCAGTCATCATACTAAAATCGAATATTGAATATACACCGTCTTCCATCCAGATCGTTGTCTCATTCTTCGAAAGTCTGTCTCCATAACCACGACTTCACTTGTTTCCTGAATGTCAGGATTGTTGGGGCGGTTCTGACCTCTGGCGGGAGAGAGTTCCAGAGTCGTGGGCCACCACCGAGAAGGCCCTGTCCCTCGTCCCCACCAGGGCCCCTCCAGACGATCTTAGTAATCTTGATGGTTCGTAGGGGAGAATACGTTCGGAGAGGTAAACCGATAGTGCTTGGCTATCAGAAGATCTGTGCACGATGGGTACACAGGATGAGAGAACCGTGAGACCCAGGTTGCGAAAACAGAGTGTTGACTTCTTCCATGATGAATTCAGACAATTTGTTCATTGTTGTCAGACATGTCTCCAATTGTCTGGTGATTATGTGGAAAAATGAATAGTGGTAATTAAAGAGCACATTCTAAGGACTATTTCTGTGTTTGATTTATTAAACTATTCCCATCCAAACGCAAGTAACGAAAGTGGAGGCATTACTTTTCATTCAACCCTCATATAATCAATTTCAAAGCAGATGTGGATTATCTGTTTTGATAATCTGGATTATATGGCAGTGTAGACTCAGGGCCCTTCACAGCCCTATATCCAAGAATATCAAGGCACGAAATCCCACATTACCTGAGTGTGGACTCGGATAACCCATTTCAAAGCAGATATTGTAGGATTTTCTGCCTTGATATTCTGGATATGGGGCTGTGTGGAAGGGCCCTCATATAAAACAGTTCAAAACAGATGTGGATTATGTGCTTTGATAATCTGGATTACTTACTTACTTAGGCAATCCCTCGTTGTCTGAGTAGGATTGTCTTCCAAGATTGGTGTACTAATTGTGGAGCCCTATTCTTGATCTGCATCTTCTTCCGCAGTGAGAGCATTGGTTTCCAGGTGGAAGGCGGTCCCGGTCGGGTTGGCTTGACGCGCCTTCCTCTTGAAAGAGAGAAAGACATTTCTCTCTTTCACCCTCCATTCGTGCCTCTTCAAATTCTACAGCACTGCTGGTCACTGCTGACCTCCAGCTGGAGCGCTCAAGGGCCAGGGATTCTCAGTTCTTAGTGTCTATGCCAGAGTTTTTAAGGTTGGCTTTAAACCCATCTTTAAGTCTCTTTTCCTGTCCACCAACATTCCATTTCCCGTTCCCGAGTTCAGAGTAGAGCAACTGCTTTGGGAGATGGCGGTCAGCCATCCGGACAATGTGGCCAGTCCAGTGGAGTTGATAGCGGAGGACCATTGCTTCAATGCTGGTGGTCTTTGCTTCTTCCCGCACGCTGACATTTGTCTGCCTGTCTTCCCAGATTTGCAGGATTTTCCGGAAGCAGTGCTGATAGAATCGTTCTAGGAGTCTAGGATAATCTGTTCTAGCATAATCTGGATTATATGGCAGTGTAGAAGGGGCCATAAATCCAGCCTATAATTCCCATGATTTCATAGCAATGAGTCATGGCAATTAAAGCAGCCTTAATTCTATAGTATAAATACACCCTGAAGAAGAAAAAAGCCTGTGGCATAAACTTTGGTTGATGTAAGGTTACTTCTTGAGATGCTTGCAGGCATTTAAACCTAGGAAAGCTTATGCTATGACCTTTTAAATCTCAGGATGGATCGACACTGCCCTATAACCCAGTTTCAGAATGTAGATGAACTGCCTTGCGCTGGATTATATCAATCTACATGGCCCTGTAACCCAGATCAAGACAGTTCGTCCACATTCTGAAACTGAGTGACAAGGGAATTTATTTATTTATCATGTCAGGAGCAAACCAAAACAGTTGTATTGCATTAAACAAACAAACAAACAAAGGACAAAGTTTGCAGACTTGGCATTCTATTAAATGTCTCTTGACGAGTAGCTGGCCACTTGGAGTGCCTCTGGTGTTGCTGCAAGAAGGTCCTCCATTGTGCATGTGGCAGGGCTCAGGTTGCAATGCAATAGGTGGTCAATGGTTTGCTCTTCACACTCGCATGTTGTGGATTCCACTTTGTGGCCCCATTTCTTGAGATTGTCTCTGCATCTCATGGTGCCAGAGCGCAGTCTGTTCAGCGCCTTCCAAGTCGCCCAGTTTTCTGTGTGCCCGGGAAGGAGTCTCTCATTTGGTATCAGCCATTGATTGAGATTCTGGGTTTGAGCTTGCCACTTTTGGACTCTTGCTTGCTGAGGTGCCCCAGCGAGAGTCTCTGTAGATCTTAGAAAACTATTTCATGATTTAAGACGTTGGTGTGCTGGCTGATACCCAAACAGGAGGTGGGCTGGGAGGGAGTTTCTCATTTGGTATCAGCCATTGATTGAGGTTCTGTGTTTGAGCCTGCCACTTTTGGACTCTTGCTTGCTGAGGTGTCCCAGCGAGTGTCTCTGTAGATCTTAGAAAACTATTTCATGATTTAAGATGTTGGTGTGCTGGCTGATACCCAAACAGGGGGTGGGCCAGAGATGTCTCTGCCTTGGTCCTTTCACTATTGGCTGCTACTTCCTGGCGGATGTCAGGTGGTGCAATACCGGCTAAACAGTGTAATTTCTTCAGTGGTGTAGGGCGCAGACACCCGTGATAATGCGGCATGTCTCACTAAGGGAGACATCCACTGTTTTAGCGTGGTGAGATGTGTTCCACACGGGGCATGCATACTCGCAGCAGAGTAGCATAGCACAAAGGCTTCACTGTGTCTGGTTGTGATGCCCAGGTTGTGCCAGTCAGCTTTCATATAATATTGTTTCTAGCGCCCACTTTTTGCTTGATATTCAGGCAGTGCTTCTTGTAGGTCAGGGCACGGTCCAGGGCGACTCCCAGGTATTTGGGTGGGTTCTAAGGCCCGTTCAGCATGGCCAGCGGTCGCCTAGGCAACCGAGGGGGAGCTCTTCCCCCCGCCCTCCCCTTCTTTTTTCCGCGTCTCTCTTCCCCGSCCCGCCCCTCCCCTCCCTCTCTCCGTCCATCCCTATCCCGTTAGCACTCGGGGCAAGATCTCGCGAGACTTGCCAACTGGCGTGGCCGCCATATTGTGTGACACTATTTTGATTTGGACTCGGCTGGCTGAGGCGAGTGAGTGAGTGAGGGAGTGAGAGAGAGAGAGAGAGAGGGAAGGAGAGAGAGAGAGAGGAGGCGGCGGCGGCAGAGGAGGAGGAGGAGGAGGGACGGGAGCGACTGGGAAGCCGGAACGGTTCCAAAGGAGGTCGGGAGCGGCGCCTTGGAGGCACCCCGCCGCCCGCCCGAGCCCGGCCTTCCCCGCCGCAGCGCCAGGACGGAACCCTCCTCCCGGAGGCGGCAGTGGCGGCCCCGCGGTGGCTCGAGGTGCCCGCCTTGCCGGTCGGAGGAGGAGGAGGAGGAGCCGGCGGAGCAGCAGCAGGGTAAGGCTCCCCCCTCGGGCCTCGCCGCGGCTCCTGCTGCTTCCCCTTTCCACGCAAGGCCTGAGGGGGCCCGGGGCCCTCCCCTGGGATTGGGCCCGCTGCCCCTGAGGGGGGAGAGTTGAGGCGGGACAGACCCTTCGCCGCCTCCTCTCTGCCTTGGGTCGCGGTCGTTTCCAGCCAGAGAGAGCCTGAGCTGAGGCTTACGGTGCTGGGTCGCCTGGTCACTTCAGCTGCGTCTACTCTGTAGAATTAACGCGGTTTGACACCAGCCCATTGACTGCCAAGGCTCGAGGCTGCGGAATCATGGGAGTTGTAGGCTTACAAGGGCTTCAGCCATTCCTGTCAAAGAGTGCTGGTGCCTCACCAGACCGTAACTTGCATGGTTCCATAGGACTGAGCTTGAAGGTGTTGCCAAACTGTATTAATTCTACAGTGTAGACCTCTCTGTGGACGAGTCAGGGCCCTTCCACACAGCCATATAATCCAGAATATCAAGGCAGATAATCTACAATATCAGCTTTTAACTAGGTTATCAGAGGGCCCATCCACACAGCTATGAAACCCAGAATGTCAAGGTAGATAATCCACAATATCATCTTTTAACTGGAGGGCCTTCCACACAGCTCTATATCCCAGAATATCAAGGCAGAAAATCCTACATTATCTGTTTTGAACTGGATTATCTGAGGGCCCTTCCACACAGCCCTATATTCCAGAATATCAAGGCAGAAAATCAGAGTGTGGACACAGATAACCCAGTTCAAAGCTGCTATTGTGGGATTTTCTGCCTTGATATTCTGGGATATAGGGCTGTGTGGAAGGGCCCTGACTTCACACTCAGATAATGTGGGATTTTCTGCCTTCATATTCAGAGATATAGGACTGTGTGGAAGGACCCTAGGTTATCTGAGGGCCCTTCCACACGGCCACATAACCCAGAATATCAAGGCAGATAATCCACAATATCATATTTGAACTACGTTATCAGAGTCCACACTGAGATAATGTGGGATTTTCTGCCTTGATATTCTGGGATATAGGGCTGTGCGGATGGCTCCTGGGTTATCTGAGGGCCCTTCTACACAGCCATATAAACCAGAATATCAAGACATAAAATTCCACAATAACTGCTTTGAACTAGGATATCAGAGTCCATACTACCATATATTTCAGTTCAAAGCAGATAATGTGGGATTTTAATCAGCTGCGTGGAAGGGGCCTGAGTCCACACTGCCATATAACCCACTTCAAAGCAGATAAAGCAGGCTTGGTCCTACAGCTGCGTGGAAGGGGCCTCAGAGTTCCAACACTGATCCAGAACCTCTTGGATGTGAACCCGGGGCCTGATTGGCAGGCTTTTGGGGAGTCAGTGCAGTGGCAAGTGTGCTTCTCTTTTTGCTAGGGGTTTTGTGTGGTAACCTGTGTTTTGCTTCCCTTTCTACCACTTGTAACCTCCGTAATCCCACCAAAATGTCTCAAATAGATGTGTTTACGCCAATAATAATTCCCCAGTTCTGTTCCTTCAGGTGCTTTGAATGCTATTTTCCTGCTTCTTGGCAAGGGGTTGGACTGGATGCCCCATGAGGTCTCTTCCAACTCTATGATTCTGTGAACCTCAACTCTCATCAGCCACTTTGTTCAGTGGTCAGAGAGTTCATAACACTTGCAGGAGCAGAGTTTGGGGAAATACTGATTTAGACAGTTTGGTTTCTTCTGTATTAAAATGTTTATATTCACAGTTTCCATTCCATTTAAGGAATGTCCAAGGTGGTTAATGCTTCACTTAAAACAAGGGTAGATTCTTTGAAGCAGTACAAAATAAAATATTCAGACACCCAAATAGGTGGTTGTCACTGTCCAAGAACAAGGAGTAATCATAGCCTAAACTATTTACAAAATAGAATGGTATTATTAGTTTTTGGAAAGTCATTGTGGTGATTTTTGGTAACACAGAGACTGCTAGAACTTCGACATCACACTGAACAAGACCTTATTCTGAGAATCCACAAAGCTGTATTTTACTCAGCAGTGAGATGCTGAACAAGGCCTTGTTAGAAAATCTGAGCAACTGTAAAAGAGCATTAGGAGGAATGTGACACTGACTCTAACCCATTTTTTACATTTTAAGTAGAATAACTGACATATTACACCAAAGCAGTTGAGGTAATAACAGGTCACATGGGCTCTTAACACTTGTCTCATTTTTTTTACTAGTGCATTCCTCTCCATTGTGAAGGTCCTAAGCCTGGTTCAAGAACTGACCCTTATAACATATGTTCCAATAGTATAGCCCATATGAGCAAGACAGTACATATGATTGTGACCAGATCAGTCACCTCTAAAGCTAAGCATAAATACTCTTGTCAGAAGTGCTACATCAGCATTCAGGAGCAAAGCACTCCCAGATTGTTAACTTGATTTATCAAGAATATTGCAGCACTGCCAAAGATGTTAACTCTTGGAGTAATTTCCCTGTCTATCCGTAATTTTCTTCTTTCCTGAGTATTGTACATTACAGTTCTCAATTCTGGCTAAGAACTTACCTGTGATCTCCCCATTAAAATGAGATTAAGATTGTCTGCACATTGCACCTATCCAAAAATCCTTATATATCACTCAGCATACTCAGCACTTTTTAATCTATATCCATTACATTTGCCGGGCCTAGTTTTTATTGTATCACGGTGTGTTGTTTTATTGTTTACTGTTATTGCTTCAATGTTTTTGATTTGCTTTTGGTTTATATGTAATTGTTATATTGTTGTTTTATTGTGGCCTTGGCCTTTGTAAGCTGCATCGAGTCCTTTGGGAGATGCTAGCGGGGTACAAATAAAGTTAATAATAATAATAATAATAATAATAATACAGAACTTTGATAGTCCACCCCTCACTGACCTCTATCCCAATGGTTTAACACAGAGGGACCAGAACGGATCTCTACAGAATCCCACAGTGTAGTTTATGATCTTCACTGCGGTCTTCCTTCTCAACTGCCATTTTGGAACTACCTTTCCTCACACTAATCACATTTAAATAGTACCCTGCCCCTAGCGGTGTCATTTGAAGTTACCGTAATCATAATACTGGAAGCCACTAAGGCAAAATTAGCAGGAAGACATTTGTCCTGAGCAGAGCATGTCATTTTTATTATGTGCATATGCATATTCATACACCTATATGAAGAAGGTTGCAGCTGAACATATTTTCTCAAAGTTACGTGTAACTAGCCATTGTAACAATTCAGTCCTGCCCGTGGCTACTCAGATATCACTTATGTGGCTTCCTTCCACATAAGTAAGCATGGAATGGCTTTTAAAAAAATGTTTATAACCAGCGTTATTGGATAGTGCCCTTCACTGTGTTCAATCATAAAACAAAGAAGTGATAATATGTTATATTTAGGGAAGGACCATTGCATAGTGTATCTACTATATTATTGCTTCACTGTGCAATATACCAAATTTGGTGATAGAACTTATGGGTAAAAGGCTTGGCCCATATATATCTCTTATATTTTTGGATGGTAGAATTTTCCTTGTTAGAGTTAATTTTAGTTAGCTAAAACTAATTCAACTTGTTGGAACAGCTGGTTTGTTTCTTCTAACATACTGGTAAAAGTTAACAGCTAGATGAAGAGCATTCTAGGTGGAGGTCAGCAGTTGTTGAAAATCTTGTCAGTAAACTTCTCAAATTAATTTTGCTGAATCATAATTAGATGTCACTTAACTTGAGCTTAATGCAGGATAGGTAAAGCAGTAGTACTCTTATTGATAGCTGGTGAATTCAACTTTTCTTTTTCTGTATTGTGCAAATATGCTTTCAAGACAACTTGTACACAAATATTTTGAAGCTTATTTTTTCCCAGGAGGCTGTCTGCATGCACAATTGCATATATTTTTAAAAAACTTTAAAATACTTTTGTATGGTCTTTAACTTATATTGGCTACAATATGCAATTTCTGTGCTTGAGCTAATAATGTCATGTGCACTGACTAATTTATCCTCTTTCTGAAACTAGTGAAATGTTTCCTGAACAGGAATAATAACCATTCTAGCTCTAGGCCTTGGACAATACTGTGACATATGTAAAACATTTTAATTGATATCTCACAATGTTACTTAAATCATACCAATAACAAGGGAAACTTGACAGTATTTTGCAGTGTGGACTGCTCTAGTTCAAGATGTTAGCTACTCGTGATTTCTTATAAGCCATTCTGTTTAATTTTCTCCCCTCCTGCTTATCAGCTGCTAGATAAATTTTAGGGTTGCTGATTATGTTTAATTTCCATTGGATTTTATTGAATTAAAAAAAAACTTTTTTCTTCTTTTTTGCGTAACCTTTGCAGAATTTATTATGAGTACACTGACATGATTTTGGATTTTCATGAAAATTTTAGCAACTGACTTCCAGTCAGAACTTTGACTTTAGGTAAGGTTAAAACTATTTTTATTAGTTAAGTTAGTTGTAAATACAAAATGGTTCTGCTTTTCTTTTTAAGTGGCAGTGATCATATCCTACATCTGTATACTTAATTGTTGTCTTTTTGTTCTCCTATCTTTCTTAAGTGATTGTTTGATAAAACATTTAAGCTGATTTCACTCTGGGCCTTAATGTATAGCACAGTCTTCAATATTACTGTTCTGGTATACTTTGTGTAAGCATTTGTTACCAGTGGAGGTTATGCAGCAAAAAAGTCAACTCTCACCAGCTGGAGATGTGACTAGCATTAGGAAAGTTATAGGGCTGTTACTCAGTATTCTGGGGTACATCGGAAATATGTCATAAGTTAATGGCTAAGTGCTTAGTGTTTAGTCTTAGAAGCACCCTCCAGGCAGAAGCTCTGCAAGAAATGAAGCTTTAGACTTAGAGAGACGATTTTTAAGCATATGCAAATGATTTTTAATTGGTATTGGATACTTTCATCATTCTAATATAGACCCTGTCATATTTGAGTTCGATTAAATGCTGTTGTTAAAATTGGGAGATTTGGTCCCTA